TTGTATTTTCTGGACCAGCTTCAAGAGAATAGGTGTTAACTCTTCCTTAAAAGTTTGGTAGAATTCCCCTGGAAAGCCATCTGGCCCTGGATTCTTGGTTTTTGGGAATTTTTTGTTACTAATTTGAATTCTTTACTGGTCATGGGTTTGTTCAAATTTTCTATTTTTTCCTGTTTCAGTTTGGTAGTTTATATGTTTCTAGGAATTTGTCCATTTCTTCCAGATTGCTCATTTTATTGGAGTATAATTGCTCATAATATTTTCTTATTATTGTTTTTATATCTGCTGTTTTGGTTGTGATCTCTCCTCTTTCATTCTTGATTTTATTTATTTGGGTCCTTTCCTTTTCTTTTTGATCAAACTGGCTAGTGGTTTATCAGTTTTGTTAATTCTTTCAAAGAACCAGCTTCTGGTTTTATCGATCTGTTCTACTGGGTTTTGGTTTTAATAGCATTGCCTTCTGCTCTAATCTTTATTATTTCCTGTCTTCTGCTGGTTTGGGGTTTTATTCGCTGTGTTTTTTACAGCTCTTTGAGGTATAAGGTTAGGTTTTGTATCTGAGACCTTTTTTCCTTCTTTAGGAAGCCCTGGATTGCTATATGCTTCCCTCTTATGACTGCCTTTGCTGTGTCCCAGAGGTTTTGGGTGGTGGGATTACCATTTTCATTGGCTTCCATTTACTTTTTAATTTCCTCCTTAACTTCTTGGTTAGCCCATTCATTCTTTTGTAGGGTGTTCTTTAGTCTCCGAGTATTTGTTATCCTTCCAAATTTTTTCTTGTGGTTGATTTCGATTTCCATAGCATTGTGGTCTAAAAATATGTACGGTATGATATTGATCTTTTTGTACTTGTTGAGGGCTGATTTGTGTCCCAGTATGTGGTCTATTCTGGAGAAAGTTCTGCGTGCTCTAGAGAAGAATGTATATTCTGCTGTTTTAGAATGAAATGTTCTGAATATATCTGTTAAGTCCATCTGGTCCAGTGTGTCATTCAAAGCCATGGTTTCCTTGTTGATTTTCTGTTTAGATGAGCTGCCCATTGCTGTAAGTGGGGTGTTGAAGTCCCCTACTATTATGATATTCTTATCAATGAGTTTCTTTATATTTGTTATTAATTGATTCATATACTTGGGTGCTATCACATTTAGAGCATAAATGTTTGCAATTGTGGTGTCTTCTTGGTGGATAGACCCCTTAATTATTATGCAATGTCCTTTTTCATCTCATGTTACAGTTTTTATTTTAAAGTCTAGATTATCTGACAAAAGGAAGGCAACTACAGCTTTCTTTTGGTGCCCATTAGCATGATAGATGGTTCTCCATCCCTTCACATTCAATCTGAAGGTGTCTTTAGGTCTCAAGTGGGTCTCTTGTAAACAGCATATAGATGGGTCTTATTTTCTTATCCATTCTGTTACCCTGTATCTTTCGATCGGAGCATTTAGTCCGTTGACCTTTAAAGTGAGTACTGAAAGATGAGAGTTTATTGCCATTATGTTTCCTGTAGAGTTGGAGTTTCTGGTGGTGTTTTCTGGTCCTTTCTAGTCTTTGTTGCTTTTGGTCTTTTTTTGTCTTTTTTCCCCTATGAGAGTCCCCTTCAAAATTTCTTGCAGGGCTGGTTCAGTGGTCATGAATTCCTTTAATTTTTGTTTTTCTGGGGAACTTTTTATTTCTCCTTCTATTTTGAATGGCAGCCTTGCTGGATAAAGTATTCTTGGCTGCATATTTCCCTGATTCAGCACATGGAATATATCCTGCTACTCTTCTGGCCTGCCAAGTTTCTGTGGATAGGTCTGCTGCAAACCTGGTCTGCCTTCCTTTGTATGTTAAGGATTTTTTTCCCTTGCTGCTTTCATGACTCTTTCCTTGCCTGAGTATTTTGTGAATTTGACTATGATATGCCTTGTTGATGGTTGATTTTTGTTGAATTTTGTGGGAGTTCTCTGTACTTCCTGGATTTTCATATCTGTATATTTCCCCAGGTTAGGAAAGTTTACTGCTATGATTTGCTCACATAACCCTTCTACCTTATTTCTCTCTCGTCATCTTCTGGGACTCCTGTGATTAATGTTGTTTCTTTTTAATGAGTCACTGATTTATCTTATTCTTAAATAGTGCTTTTGTTTTACTCTCCCTCTTTTTATCTGCTTCATTATTCTCCATAAGTTTGTTCTCTATATTGCTGATTTGCTCCTCTGCCTATCCATCCTTGCCTCTGTGGCATCCATTCTAGACTACAGCTCAGTTATCGCCTTTTTTAAATTTGATCCTGACTACCTTTTACTTCTTTTATCTCCATAGAGAGAGATTCTAATCTAATTTTGACCCCAGCTAGTGTTCTTATCATCGTAATTCTATATTCTGGTTCAGGTATCTTTCTTGTATCTGTGTTACTTAAGTCCTTGGCTGACATTTCTTCTTGCTCTTTGTTTTGGAGTGAATTCCTTTATTTTGTCATTTTGAAGGAAGAACAAGAGTTAATAAGGTAAAAAATAATTTAATCGAAAACAACACACTCAAAGAAAAAGCGAATAAATGATGCTAGATCCTAGATGTGCTTTGGTCTGGATATTGAAAAGAGCTTGATTAGAGAAAAAAAAGGGAAAATTTTAAAATTAAAAAAATTAAAAACAACACATCTACACACACAATCAAATAAATGATGCTAGATTTTAGGTGTTTTTGGGTCTGGTTATTGAAAGGAGCTTGGCTGATTAGAGTAAAAATGGGAAAAATTTAACACTAAAAATTATAAACAACACACACACACAAAATCAAATAAGAAATACTAGATCTTAGGTGTGTTTTGGTCTAGTTATTGAAAGGAGCTTGATTGATTAGAGAAAAAAGGGAAAATATTAAAATTAAAAAATTAAAAACCACACACATACACGCACAAATCTAATAAATGATGCTAAATCCTAGGTGTGTTTTATTCTGGTTATTGAAGGGAGCTTGATTGATTAGAGAAAAAAAGGGAAAAAGAGAAGGAAAAAAGGAAACAAAACAGAAGCAACAAAAACAAAATACGAAAAACAAACATACAAACAAAAACGTTTGAAAATTTGAGAAAATGAAAGCAATTAAATAGAATAACTTGAAATGATGGAAGTAAGATAGAAATTGAAAATTTTACAAAAAGTAAAAAATCAAGTGAAAAAAGAAACAATAAAGGAAATTATTTTTAATAAAAAATTGAAAATAAAAATTTAAAATTTTTTTTACATTTATATGTTTTTGAGAGACAGAGAGAGACAGATTACAAGTGGGGGAGGGACAGAGAGAGAAGGAGATACAGAATCCAAAGCAGGCTTCAGACTCTGAGCTGTCAGCACAGAGCCCAACACAGGGCTCGAACTCACAGACTGTGAGATCATGACCTGAGCCAAAATCCAACACTTAACGATTGAGCCACCCAGGTGCCTCCAAAATAATTATTTTAATTATTTTTCTGTATTCAAGTAAAAGACAAGAAATGGAAAGGAAAGAATAAAAAAAAGGAAAAAAATTGAATAGATGGGCCAGCAAACAGACTGAGATACGATTGATATTGCATCGTTTTACTCTAGAAATCAAACTATGAAGCACTTTATAGTCCCTGAAGTAACCAGGTGGAGAGATTTGTGGTGTTCCTGAAGAGCGAGGCTGGTCCCGTTGGGCAGGGCTTAGTGTAATGGCTCCATTCTCCACTAGATGGCGATGCTTAGCTTACTGGGGTAGATTATCGAGGCACCTGTAGTTGTGTATGCGCATGCGTGGGTCGGGCGAAAATGGCGTCACTGAGATATTCAGGCTTGCGTCAGACATCTCTGTTTTCCGACCGGGACTCGAGCACCCGTCCTTTGCCTTCGGTTTCAGTTCACTCCCTGCTTTTGCACTGTCTGCAGCCATGCTGTCAGGTTGCCAGGCGGCACCACTCTCCTGAGTTTTATCTGAGATGTGGCTATATTTCCCAACCCCTCACTTCTGAGGGACCGAGGCTTTGCTGGGCTGAGATCCTCTGGGGGAGGGTCTCACTGAGCAATGGCCGAGTGCCAGCAGCACCCGGGAATGCTACCGAGACCTTGTTGCTTCCTATGTCCAGATTCTTGTGGCTGGGTGTCAGCCTGACCCAGAAAAAATTCAGGTGATTGCACAGCAGCAGCGTTTCCTGGATTGTGGAAAAAGTCGCGGGGGCCGAGGACCTCCCAGACCCACTCTTCTGGGAATTTACCCTTCTCACCAGGTATTTTGAGCCGCAGAGTTTCGGACTCTGCGCTCCCCCTGTTCATAGATTATTAATGGAATTTAAACTCTCTCCTTTCTCCTTTCTCCCTTTTTAGTTCAGTCCCTGCGGATTGTTCCACCTTTTTTTCCCCCACTTTCTCCAGCTGCTTTTTTGGAGAGTGCTTTTCCTGGACTCTCCCGGTCTCCTTCTTCTCTCCGCAAGCAAAAACAGCTCCCAGCCCTCTGGGTCTCCTCTCCTCCCCAGTTCATCTCTCCATGTCATGTACCTGCTGAGTTCTGTGGTTCAGGTTGTGCAGATTGTTGTGTTCATCCTCACGTCAGTTTTCTAGGTGTGCAGGATGGTATGGTTTAGTGTTGATCTGGCTGTATTTCATGTATGTGAGATAGAAAAAAAAGACTGAACCATACACTTTCAGTAGCACTGTTTTAAGTAGTATAGATGGTTACCCAAAATCTGTTAGAAGTTAAAAGTTTAGTCAAGCCTGCTTTCCTCCAGTTGCAATATATTAGCCACTCACTTTATACGGTAAAAGCAGTAATTTTTTGTCTATTTTTTGGTAATCATGAAATAAGTAAATTGAATAGTTGATGATTTCACCAGGAAGGCATAATCTGTTTGGCCAAACCAAGAAACTTAATGATGCTTAACTTTCCGACAGTTCCAATCAACTAACTACCCTTCAGTTACAACAAAGAGTTATGAATTTCAAGAGTTTCCAAGAGTTGTTGATTCTTTTTATTTTTTTAAGAATTGTTTATTCTTACTAGTCCTTGAAATTTTAACATGAAGAGCAAAAACTTTCTTTGCAAGAGAAGAAATTCCTCTTTGATGGATAACTTTGAGATGATAATATCTCAAGTCCTTTTTTCCCCCAATCTTCCACCTGGTCTCTGCTACTCAAGCTGAGCATTTTTTTTCTAGAACGAGAAATACTACTTGATACTACTTGATACTAGAATGAGAGAGAGGGAAAAATGTACACATTGATGTCCACAAATCTATATGCTTAACTTTGGAAATAGAAATTGTCAGTTTAAAACACAAGTAACTTTTGCAGACAACTAAATTCCTCATTTAAGAATACAATACAGGGAGGATGCACAGTGGCTGGTATCTTATCCTGGATTATACTAAAACTTCTCAAACCCTCTCTGGACACCACATTCTTAGATATTGGACCTCTCCATGTTGCAACAGTCATGAAGGAGATCTATGCTTTGGTATTCCAGAGCTAATACAATATTTGTGACATTTGACATAATGATGACATTATATCAGTGACAAAGAGAGAACTAAATAAAGCCTCTAATGGGGAAAAAATAGGAGACATTTTTACTTACAATCGTATGCTATTATCAACAGGGTAAAGATGAATTGTAAACTAAAATAGCTTGTTTTACAAAAATATGCTGTTAATGGACTCATTCTGATGGGACCTCAAATAATGTTATTGATGTGTGATACAAATTGTATTTCTTTTTTTTAATTTTTAAAAAATGGTTATTTATTTGAGAGAGAGAGAAAGAGAGCACATAAGTAGGGGGAGGGCCAGAAAGGGAGGGAGATACAGAAGCCAATGTAGGATCCAGCCTTTGAGCTGTCAGTCCGGAGCCTGACATGGGGCTTGAACTCACAAACCACAAGATCATGACCTGAGCTGAAGTCAGACGCTTAACCCACTGTGCCACCCAGGTGCCCCATATCTAAAGAAATAAAGCCTTATTAATGATGTTAGTAGATTTGGTTATTTTCTTAAATTTTTTACTTACTCAGCAAAATGAAATTTTGCCAGACAGTTTTCTGATTCCATGTCAAAACAAAGACTTATTAGCAGGATTTACAAAGGTAAATATTTATGAATCATTTTTATGTATCTAGGTATTTATTACATGGGGCTTAGCAATAGCTGGGTTACTGTGTTTTTTCCTAGATATATCAATATGATTTTATAGTGTAATATGTTTTACTTAATTATATTTTACTTTTGTAAAATAGTATTGGGCATATCAATGTTTATTTGAATCTCTAAGCCAGCATTAGGGTTTATGACTTGTAAGATTCAACATATGTATTTATTTTAAGAAAAATCAGGCAAGAAAAAGAGGTTATGTAAAAGAAGGCATAAAGGAAAAACAACAACATCAACAACTACTACAACAACATTGAAATCTATTAAATACTTTAAGCCAAAACTGTGCTCAGGAAAGCAACATGTTTTGCATCACTTAAAAATCTACTCCCAGGAAAGTTCCCAGTATATTCAAGGTAGCCATTAACATTTTATTCTTCAAGACAGTCATTCCTATCTTTAACAATGCTATGATCCTGGGAAAAATAATGGAATAAGGATTTAGAGTAAGGGAGGAGAAAGGAAAAAGGGAAGGGAAGGAAGGGTGGGTGGGTAAAAGAGGAAGAAGAAAGAGAGAGAAGAAAGGAAGAAAGAAAGAAAGAGAAAAGAAAGGAAGAATCGGAAAGATAAAGGAAACAAGTCAACTTCTCAAAGTTTCAATGTCCATCTTATGAATCATCTATTTTTTTTATCATTTTATATTTATGTGGCACTGGCAAAATTATTTTAGATTTTGTTAATGTTTATTTTGAGAGAGAAAGTACATGCAGAATTATTTTTTAATATGCCTAGTTCTAGGATTAAAAGGGGAACAATACAGAAAGCTACTGAGTGAGGATACACAAAAACCTACCATTTAGAAGCTTAAAATTTAAGATGTTAACTTGAAGAGTGTGTACAAATATTTTAATGACTTCAAGAGGTTCTTGTTCAGGATATGTATACATTGACTATTATGAAGATCCGTTTCAATGGCAGAAAACTTATGAAAACTGAGATTACTAGAAATCAATTAGGGAGAGGGACTTTTGCTTGTTTGTTTTTAATCAGAAGTACTTAGGAGCTCTTGTGAAATACATTTCTACATGTTCAAATAAATAAGTGCATTGTAGAAAGAATTAGAAAAATATAAATGAAAAAAAATCAGATGTGTCACCAAAGTCTCAGAAAAGAAATTATATTTAAATTGGGGATCAAGGACCATTGCTTTACTTACAGTCCTTAGATTTCTTAGAAAAAAATGATTGATAATATTCACATAATTTAAATTCATTATTAATTGGAAATCCAATATAATCTTATTGAGACTTGAACAAAAAAGTACACCAAATTAACACATTTTGGAAGGTGCTCCAGAGATGACTCCATAACTACATCCTCACCTTTGGGTCAATGCTACTCCTGTCCCTGTGGTTGAGGTCTTGCCTGTGGCTTTGAACCAGGGACCAAGAATGGAGAAAGGAGGAGCTGATCTGTTCTTTCATCATGTTGCCACTTTTCTATTACACTCCATCTTCCCTCACTATGCTGCCTCTGGTTCTTCCAGGATCAGAGCATAGGAACTAGGCATAATAACCAAAAAGGAAAATAGCATCATGCATGGGTTGGCTGTTCACTATCATAATTGAACAAAGGTTGAGTGTTATGTGAGAAGACCACCTTTCTATGGGAAACTGCGTTGAATTGATGCGGATAGATTGATTACTGATATCATAGATAGTTGGTCTGCAAAACTAAGCAGTTCCCTCCCTCTTCTTCCACTGCTGCTGTGCATTGGTCCAACTGGTGGACTCCAGCTGTCCGTATTCTCTGGGCATGAGAGTTTGGCCACAGTACCTGTTTTCACACCTGTCTCTGCACTCCTGGAACTCCTGGGAGTTTTTCACAAGAGCCCTCCCACACTCTCTTAACGATAGCATGGACCAGCCCTACAATCTCTGTGCTCTAGCATATGTCCTAGTGGGAGCCGAGAGCCAGCCTTCTCCTTCTCAGGGACATCTGAAATGTCTGTTTTTCTTTCTGACTCCTACCAATTTGTCTGCGAGGGAGGAAGTATCCTTAAGTTTGGTAACATTATAGCACCCTGAAACCTTACAGAATCTCTTCAATTAGTCAACATTATTCTAATGAATATGTAACTTCTGAGGGTTATTGGGAGTTATGTGTGCTGGGCTTTTGTTACTGTCTCTATTATGCCCTGCAAGGTTGGCATCTAGCTCTGCAACTATACTTAAAGATGTGCCGGTAATTCCACCCATTATCTTAGGTTTGGTGCCTTAGACATAAAATGAAAATTCCCAGTTAAAGCCTTGCTCCCATTTTAAAGCTTGTCAATAGAAAAATGTTAACACACTAGGCAGAAGTTGGGACTGAGAGGGAAAAGTAGAAGGAAAGTGAAATGTAAGTGCACTAACATTTTTCTTATCTTTTTTTTTTTTTTTTTTAACAGAGTAAAGAAAATAGACACATGGGTCCCTTACCTGCAGTCTCACTGGTACAGTTTCCATTACCTGCATCAACTACATCCTGAAGCAGGTGATCATCCTTCCAACAGATCGTCCAAAGGTCAGTGACAGCCTTAACACTACATAACAATGTGTGTGTCTTTCACCTCGCTTCATCTCATCACATAGGCCTTGTATCATCCAACACCATCATGAGAAGAGTGAATACAGTGCAGTCAGACACTTCAGGTGAGAGAGAGACCACATTCATGAAACTTTTATTATAGCATATTGTTATAATTGTCTTATTTTATTATTAGCTGTTGCTGTTAATCCCTTACTGTGCCCAATTTATAAATGACATTTTATCATAGATGTGAATGGGGGAAACACATAGTATGCATAGTATCTGCAATTTCAGGCATCCACTGGAGGTCTTGAAAATATATCCTCCATGGGAAACGAGGGACTACACTATTACCTAAATTTATAGACTGACAAAGAGTTAAGCATATGATAAATTAATAGTTACAGATATGGAAATTTGAAATCTGTTAGCAGTAGTTGCCTTTAGAAACTACCCAGGGGATTGGGATTTAGAAAGACTCGTATTTTCATATCCTCTCGTACTGCCTCAGAGGCAGCTGCACAGCTGTCCAGACTGTGTATGTATGCGTGTGTATCCAGAAAGATAACTAATCAACTCATTCTGTCAGATACTCGGTCACCTTTCATGCTCTAATCAGATAGATATTAGGTCAACTTTCCTCAGATACAGAGAGTGGACATAAATATGCATAAGGGATAATTTTTTTTCTCTTAAATATATCGATATAGTACTTAGTAAGGAAGATATATTCAATCTTCATGTTGTTAGACCAACTTATTAAAGTGCTTGTTGTTTTGCCAGACAGTAAAGATACAAAATTATTGGGACATGCTTTCTATACTTCAGGAAAATACAGTATACAAAAGTATGAATGTTTTTAGCAGTGATTTTTTTAGAGAGATGATAGGACTCAGAAGAACCTTCTTCTATTCTATTCTATTCTATTCTATTCTATTCTATTCGTGTCTACTTATTATTTTGAGAGAAAGATTGCAAGTGGGGGAGGAGTAGAGAGAGAGGGAGACACAGAATCTGAATCAGGCTTCAGGCTCTCTGAGCTGTCAGCACAAAGCCCGATGCGGAGCTCGAACCCATAAACCAGAAGATCATGACCTAAGCTGAAGTCATCTGCTTAACTGACTGAGCCACCCAGGCGCCCCTTAGCAAAGTTTTCATGGTGAAGTTTAGGTAGTTTGTTTAACATGTAGCAGTTGTTTTACTGGGACTGTTGAACAAGTAATTTAGGCCTTTTCCAGGAAGAGTGAATTTAATTTTTTCCTCAGGAAGAGTAAATTTAATTTTTGACTCAAAACAGTGTATTTTGTTTTATTAGATGTAGCTTTTTTTAGTCTCCTACATTTTTATATTAACAATTTCCATATTGATTAAATCATAGCCATACTTACTTACCTGTTAATATTAAGAAAAAATAGTTTTTTGAAAATAGTGTAAATTATTTTTTAACTGATGTCCATCCATAGCAAATGAGAACTGATTTCGAAGGTTCAGGGTTATAAACCTCTTGGATCCTGGCCTATGCATGACTTACATAGCAAAACTCCTTAGCTACTTTACTAAAAATGCCTAAGCTGCTCTTTCTCATAGGGGTAAAGATGTCTGTTTAAAACACCACTGCCTTCTGCCCTTTTCTGCCTTCCAAGGAGAATTAGGAGCTGTGGTGTCCACTTACTCCTTCGAGGCCTTCTGTCTGTATTAGGCTACTAACTTAACCTCTTAGTTAACACTGCATTCAAGCCATTTTCTAATACTGATATTCTTGACAACCCAAGGGAGAACCTTTTGATTTTTTAACTTAGCTATTTATTTGTTTATTTATTTTGGCAGATGCCAATTTCAAGTAAAATAAAAACTGTGAACAGCTAGCCTGCTTCCATTATTGTTTTTCTACTTATCAGAATAGAAAAACTAGCAACTTCCCATTTCACGCACTGCAGTTCAATGTCAAATTTCTTCTGACAACAGTATTAATATTTCCTTATAGGAGAACATTGTATGTGTGTGTGTATGTGTATATATTCTTATTCTGTGTGTGTGTGTGTGTGTGTGTGTGTGTATATAGTTTTTGGATAGAATCAGTACCTATTTTACACATATCAAAAAAATCAGAATAGATACAGGCTGAAGCCTTACCATGTTCTTATAATTTTTAGATAACATCCTTCATTTAATAAGTATTTATTAAGTGGATATAATGTGTCAGAAATCCTCCTGGGCATTTGGATATATTTATGCATCATAGAGCTTATATTTTAGCAAGGAGAGATAGATAATAAAAATAGATATAGAGAATGAATTATCTAGTATTTATAAGTATGAAGACTAAAAATAAGTTTATCAGTATACATGGGATTAAGAGTATCAGGGCACTCTTAATCCAGGGAGGTACAGATTGTAATATTAAAGTGATCCGGCAATTCTCTTTGAAATGATGTGATTCGAGCAAAGATCTAAGAAGATGAGCGGTGTAGTCATTTGAGTTCTTGGATTCTTTCCAGAAGAATTGAACAGTAAGTGCACAGTCTTTATGGTGGAACCAAAGAAGCCAGCATGGCTGCAGTATCTTGATGGGAGGCGGGAAGAAAGAATAGGAAATGAAATCAAGGGGCGCCTGGGTGGCCCAGTCCGTTAAGCGTCCGACTTCGGCTTAGATCACAATCTCACGGTTCGTGGGTTAGAGCCCCACATCAGGCTCTGTGCTGACAACTCGAAGCCTGGAGCCTGCTTTGGAATCTGTGCCTCTCCCTCTGTCTCTGCCCTTCCTCTGCTTGTTCTCTGTCTCTTTCAAAGATAAATAAACTTAAAAAAAAAAAAAAAGAAATCAAAGCATTAAGGGGGACTGGTGGGGCATGAGATTATTTAAGGCTTTATAGACTGTATAAGGGCTGTGGCTTTTACTTTTGAATGAACAAGTGAATTATCATAGGATTTGAGCTCAGGGGTGACATAGTCTGACTTAGGTTTAGCAGGAACCCTCCTCTTCCTACACACAAACACACACACACACATACACATACATCACTGGCTTCTATATATGAATTAACTGTATTGGACTAAGAGTAGAAGCAGAAAGGCCAGTTAGGTGGCTATTGTGGTCATCCTTGTAAGAGATGGTAAAGGCTTGTTGGAAGGAATTATCAGCAAGGCAAGAGAGAAGCTGCCAGATTCTAGAAGTGCCAACATTGCAGGGTGGGGTGGGTAGGACACTGGTAAGAGGGGGAGATAAATAATGACTCCAGAAATGTTGGGGTTAAGCAACTGCAGAGATGCACTTGGGTGTAAGCAGATTTTGGAGGGAGGGGAACAAGAGTCAATACTGCATATATTCAGTTTGAGAATATCAATAAACACCCATATAAAGATGTTAGTAAGAAGCTGATAACCAAGTTTCAAGTTCAAAAGGAATATCAGGCTAAAGATATAAGTTGAGAACCATTAACATGCGTGGTATTTAAAGTCATGAGACTGCAGGAGCTTACCAAGAGAGGGACATTCAAGAAGAAAAAAAAAAAAAAAAAGACCAAACTATGAACCTTGAGATTTTCTACCAGTTGAGATTAGGGAAATTAGGATAAAACAGCCAGGATGAAGAAGGGATACCTGTGATGCAGGAGAAAACACAACAGATAGTGGTATCTTAGAGGAGAAGTGAAGAAATGTATCAAAGAGCGTGAGAATCTGTGTGAAGTGCTGCTTAAAAGATCCACTGAAATGAAGACTGAACTAATCATTGATTTAACAATGTGGATGTCGCTGATGAAATGGACAAGAGCAGCGTATAGGAGGTGCGGAAGCACCTTAGATTACAGATCTCAGAGAACAGTGGAAAGAGAGAAATTGGAGAAATTTAATATATGCAGCTCTTCTAAGGAGTTTTGCTGCAAGAGGGAGCAATCCTTTAAGGTAAGCGCCCTAACCAGTATAGAATAAGCCCTATCCCAAACTGATAGAATACATAAATGTCCTAAAGTCACACACCTTGTAAGGGATAGAAACAATTTAAATTTGGACTTGTCTGTCTCCTTCTGTTGTACTCTGCTGTTTTCCCAAGTGGCCAAAGAAGATTGGAAAATGACCAATTACTTCTTATTTTATGTGGCTTTATAAGAATTAAGTGATTTATTGAAACAAATTGTATAGCACGGCATCTACCACATTATAAGTGAAAAACACTTTTTAGACTCCTTCTTATTTTCCCTGCTCTGTGTACTGCCTGAAATATAGTCATTGGTAAATGTAAAGCAAATATTTATTGCTTATGAAACATGTGATAAAATCAAACATAGCCTGATAAAAGAACACATGAAGTTTGTAACTTATACTTCTTCCTATAACAGAAGGCTACAGTAAATGTAGATCTTACTTTGTTTTGCTATTATCTTGTCATCAGAAAAAAAAGGAATAGCATATCCTATCCAGATGACATATAAAACAGATAGGCATATATAAATCTAAAGCTTACATTACTCTAAAAATAGCTATTCATCTATATAAAGAATAAAGTTAGAATTTTCTGTCAGTTTTCCTTTAATATTCTTTAAAGTATAACCTATTTTATAAACCTTTTAATTTAATGACAACACGATTCTGAAAAATGAACAGCATGTGGTATAGGAATCTTTGCATTATTCAGATAATTATTTCAGCCACTGAACAGAAGAAACAAAATTCATCTAAATTCATATAAAATGGCATTTAGGGATTAGCAATCACACAGGGATGTTTACATTTCAAATCCCTATGAAAAATTACTTTGAAAATGCATACATGGAATCAAAACATTAGATATGTTTAGAAAACTAGTCTCATTTTGCTGGAATGTAGACAAATAAATGAATTATATAGACAGATATAGCCACAGATGTGGCTATAGGTATAGATAAGAAACATGTTTTTGATATCAGAAGAGGTCTTTAATAATTTCAAGCTTTGCAGATCCTTTCCAATGCAGATTGGGTGAATACCTAGT